CTCAAGGTCTCAGCCTGAGCCTGCCGTGCAGCAGGTGAAGGTGAGTGGAAGTGACTAGTTGTTCAGGCTGTTCAAGTGGAAATAATAAGGTGGGGGAGGCTGGGGGTGAAAAATCAAGTCCTGCTGCTTCTTCACTGCTTTCATGCCTCCTATTGGAAAATACTTTCTTCCTCAGCTTTGCCTGTGGTTCTCTGCTCCGGCTCTTCACTGTGGGAAGACCTTTACTGAAGAATAAGAAACGTGGTAGAATGGAGAAATTACAGTGGAAGCAGGAGAAAGGAGGGAACTGTAAGCATAACATGTGCAAGAGCAGGAGGATTGCGTATAGTGAGAAATTTGGATCTACCGGTGCTGTTTCCATCCATCTATAATGCCAGAGTCCATGTGACAATTGCCCTCCATTTGCTGTTCTTCCAACCTGATAGAAGAACACAAGATACCGAGTTTCAGCATTTGAAGATACTATCTCAAGAAGAAAAAAAATTAATTCAAAAAGTTCAAAAATGAGAATTAAACTTAGTTGCGGGCCGTACTTGATTTAAGCAAGAAGACTGGTGCTGAAGTTGCTTTTTGAAATAGATTGATAGCTTATCCTGCCTTCCCATCGAAAAGATATCCTCTCCTAAAAAGGACAAGACATACACAATCTTACCCACTCAAAAGAACCAGGTCATGTCCTTGGTGTGACAAAAGGCAAAAATATAAATTTCTAATTTCTCTCATTTCATCTGCTTTGAACGATATCCTCAAAGAATCTTGTTGAGACTTTGAACAGGCATTTTGGAAGGGGGGCAAAAAAAAAAAGGGGAGGGGGAGGATGGGGACGACAAAACCCATATGCCCTTTAGCTAAGGAAACTCTGAGAAATTCTCTTCTGAACTGGATCCAGGTGATATTTCTGTACTTCACTGGGTATATGTTGATAATGTGCTGACATGAGCTGTACAAAACCTTCCACCTTCATTTGTTTTGGTCTGGTTCAGGAAGCTGCAAGTCAGTAAGACATCATCTCTGATGATCCAGTCATTTTATCCTCTGCTGTAAAAGGAGGGGAGAGGGGAAGAAGGAGCAGGAAGAAAAAGCAAAGATCCTGGTTAGGGGTGATGAATACAAACTGACATAGCTCTAGAAATCTCTGGGTGAGGAGGGAATGGATTTTGTGTGTGTGTGTGTGGGGGGGGGGGGGGGGGGGCAGGGGAGATGGTTATCCTATTACAGCAGATTATAGTAGTGAGGCAGAAATGGTCTTGCTTTGGTGGTTTTGTATCAATTGCAGCATTAGCACAGTTGTGAGGAGTTGGGGTGGTAAGTTTGGAAAGGAGGCACGAGTCTTTGTGCATGAGCTTTATTGGCTATACTTTGAAGTTATAGATCTGATGTTGTCTTGGCAATCTTGAAGGGAATCTTTAACCTTGATGAGCAACCAGATTTGTTCAATATAATGAACAGATACAGGCAGTCTGGGCTAGGAGAATTGTATTCAGAAGTAATTAGCAGTGTTTTGTGATGTTGGATTTGCTTCAGTAAGTAGTGAAGGCCTTAAATGCAGTTGTCATAAAGCAGTCTTCTGGAGTTGTGTGTCAGCAGCCTCTTGCTTTCTGCATAGAGAAACCTATTTTAGATCAAGAAATCAAGCTAACAGAGCAGAGTAATTTGTTCATAGTCCTGTTGGTTTGCAGCTTCTCAAAGGAATGTGTGCTAGAGGAGATCTGTATTTTGGTGTGAACAGGAGTCTGCTGGGTCCTCTCTTGTGGCAAGGCTGGTGCTGAAGGGTATTGCTTTCTTCAGTGCTTATTGGGCCTGGTACGCTCATTTGGTAAGAAAATTAAATCCTTTTCTTCATGCGAATGGGTGGGAGAACAGGACAGAAGAGTAACTTCCTCTTTGAGTATTTGACTTTACATCTATGTCTCTTGGAAGACAAAAATGATGAGTTAAGGATAAGCACGAGCTTTATGTTTTAATCCACCCTGTATTTTGATCATGCACTGTCAGCCTTTCTCATCAGTATGTTTCAAAATGGTTTTAGTTTGCATTATATTTAGACATGCATTTTCTCCCATACTTGGTGTAGGATGTCTGTCATTGTTCTCTTCACTAAAGGTTCTCTACTTATAATCTGATAACTTTTTTTCCCCCCCAGTGCATTTGTACACTGGTAATTAATAGCCCACACTATAATGTGAGAAGTCTATTTAAGATGTATACAGGAAAATACATGGTAAAATGAGACTACTTGAAGTATTCATCTGAGAAAAAATTAATTCTTTAAAGCATCAGTCTGTTACAGGAGCATCAGTAGCTGTTCCCCACTACATCCAATTCAAGCTTTGTAACTGTTGGAGTATTTCCAGTTTTAACTTCACCAGGGAGTGGTGATTAGAAGTCATCTTGGTTTTAAGATGGTTGAGGTGACTATTCGACTAAGATGACAGTTTGAATTTGTTTCCTTCTGTCTAGTCACAGAATGTGAGATATAGGTTACTGTGTAACTGGTTTATGAGTTATCCCTGATATTAGCACCTCCTGAAGCACAGTTTGTGCAGCTGCAGCAGATGGTCAGGATGTGAGCCGAAGGAGATGGATCAGAGTGGAAAGCATCAAAGTGGGCACAGACTGTGCTTGTGCTAGGATGAGATACCAAAGTATAAATATAACTTCAGCCTAGTGTTAGAATAACTTCTGCTGATTTTTTTTTTCCCCCCCAGTGTATCCAATCGGCACATACATACTATCTAAAGAGCATGAAGCAATAAGCTGACTTAGAGTGCATATGGATATTTTAAGGAGCTAGTAGAGATTTTGCCAGAATAATATGTGCTTATTAATGTTTAGTGTATTCATGTTTCTTCCACCAGTTCCATGATATAAAAGGTATTATTCGCTCTCATAGTCAGTGGGAGAAAGGGAAGAAGAAATTACTTGCCTTACGTTGTGCTATGAATTGTTAGTGGAATTTGAGGAGCTGGAACTTGCAGTGTTGGATTTAGTTCTGTAGTAACACTGAAGTACTGTAAAAGCCAACTGGAGAAATTAATATCTTGTTATAATTGATGTTTCAGTGACTGATGGGCCCTAAAGCCATCCCTGTTTTGGCTCACTAGTTGAAATCTGCCCCATGTTGTAAGGTCCAGGGAGACACCACGGAGCCAGCAGTGGTGTGCTGTATGGACGAGGCGAGAGAATGAGGTCTTTCTGGTCTGAAGTTTGAACTGTGCTATGTATCACAGGAACCCCAGCCATTACTCTCCAGATTGACTTCTTTTTGATAGGATTTAGTAAAGAATTAATAAGTGGAGAGTATTTGAGCTCCCGTTCCTACCAGGAGAACGCTTTTCCCTGAGATGCGAGGCATGTTGATGAGGTTGTGTGATGAAGCCTGTATTCCTCTTCCACAAACTTACTCCACAGTATTTTAGGAGATACACAAAAACCTCAAAGGTCTCTCCCTGCTTTCCCCTACTTTCTCTCTTCATCCTTCAGAATAGACTAGGCCTGTCTTGGTGTGCACCTAACGGACTTAGGCTTTAATCTGTTCAGAAGCAGGGCAGGCTCAGGGAAGGACTTGCTTTTTCTTTTACTAGCTGGATAACTGCCAACTGATAATTGTGTGAGATGTCACTCGTGTTTGTAAAGAGCTAGCTAATACTGAAGTATTTTTTCAGTCAGCGGGTGGCAGGGATGATAGGATTAATTATACTACATCCTATCTAACATCTTGGGGTTTTTTAAGGCTGCGTGGCTTAGGGGAATTAAAAGCGGAATCTGTAGCCGTGTTCACATTAGAAGCTCTGAGAGGTTCTTGCAGAGTTCCTTAAGCTTTAATCGTAGTAATAGACACAGTACATGACCCTCAGATACACAGAATATTAAATCCTTATTTTGACAGCAGCAGAAGTACCTGTTAGCTTTGTGCATTTAAGTATGAAGATGTGTGATGGCTAAACAATTTTATTGCCAAATGTTCCTGAAGTTGGCCAGAGTTAATGATGCTTGTAGGGCCAGTGTATTAGTCTAGTGTATTGGTCCTAGCTAGTTAGGATGCATGATTAGCAACCCCATGATCCAAGTGAAAATGGGAATATTTTTTAAGCTACAGATTGTAGAGTAATTCAGGAAGGAAAAACAGTGACATGTAAATGTGACCATAGGAGAAAGGAGTATTGTAGTAGCAGCTGTGGAATGAAGTATAACAAACATAACTGTGCTAATTTTACTTGCTTGTTTTTATTCATACCTACAATTCAGCATTTCACTCATTTTTATCTGTTAGGCTATAAGATCCTTCATTTGTTTAGGGCTCAGTTACAATGGATATTGCAGTGAAGTCCCCAGTTTATCATGCATGTAATGAACTGATTTTATTTAAACAACTTTTTCAGGCTGATATGAAATGGGAGAATTGCGCTTTTATTCTCTCTGCCTAAACCTGGTTGAACAAAAGTGGGAACTGAGTTGCCTACTCAATTTCAGGTGCTTTTTTGTTGGTATCACAAAGAGAATGGTACAGGAAATTACTTTCTATCGCAAACCTATTTTGCAGTGTAGAGAAGCACAGGCCTGTAGGTGGAAATGTTATGTTTGCTTTTACATTGTTTACATTATTTTTATATTATTCAAGGAGGATAGACTTCCAACCATTCTGGCTAATATATTGCATTATGTAGGATCAGAAAATAAAAATGGAAAGTTTAATGTCTTTTTGCCTTTTACCATTGAAACTTCAGTAATGTAAAGAGGTAATTCTTGGATTTTGTGATAGATATGTGGACCTTTATTTAGAGGGAAAATGTGCTCAATTATGTTGATGTTCTTGGTGATAAAGTAACTGGAAGAAAGACTAATAAACATGTGAAAGCTGTTGCTTCTTTCCAACTTGAGTTGTTCTTTGGTTCCTTAGTTTTATCAGCTCCTGTATCTGTATATTAAGACATTAATTGCAGTACTCTAACTTTGTGAGTAAAGAGTTTTTCTAATTGTTTGCTTTTCTCTTGTTTCAGAACCGAGAGCTCCAGATTATGAGGAAGTTGGATCATTGTAACATTGTCCGATTGCGTTATTTCTTCTACTCTAGTGGAGAGAAGGTAAGAATGAAAAACAAGGCAATGCTTCCTGGTAGCCATCTGGGGTGTAACTGAACTGTTTGAATTTCTAGAGACAGGAGTGTGAAGATAGCATTTTCTCCATGTTGTCATGTCTGCTATAGGTGTGTCCAACAGTTCATGCTGGAGCAGATCTTCTTCTGTATGGAAGCGTGTGGTCCATCGGGGTAGTTTTTATTATAGGACAGCAGTAGCGTAACAGATTTGGATACACACTGCCTCTGTTTTTTAATTTAATGGAGTGTGGCTGGGCTTCGTTTGCATGTTCTAGCACTACCTTTCCATATGTGCAAATATGTTTTCTAGAATTCAGCATTAAGCACTCTATATTTAAAACACTTATGTGACTTTTCCCAGACCTAGTCTCCGTATGCTTCTGTCACCCTTCCTTATGTGTCTGTTCCATATACAGGCTGAGTTTCAAAGCCCAGAGGAAAGAATAATGTATGATCATGTGATTGTAGCATTTGTCAGAGTGCTTATGTTCCAGAAGAAGGAACAAATAGCTGGATTTAATAAATCTCAAGAAGTGCACACTGACATTCGTATCTTGTTTGAGTCTAGATATAAAAGTTCCTTGGGTTTTTTAAAAAGGGATTACAAGGTTTTGTTTTAATGTAAGGTTATAATAGCTTCCTTGTCTGTGTATGTATCTGCATTTTATGAATCATAGGAGAATTCAGGGTGAAATGGACCTCAAGATGGCATCTGGTCCATCCTCATGCTTAAAGCAGGGCCATCCATGAGGTGGGGGGAAAAAAAAAAAGGCTTTTTGGCCCATGTTGGAGTGAGTGTAAGCTGTGAGATGAGGAAATGGCCTAATTACCTTCTGAATTTCCTCTGATCTTTTTGTATGTAGTTGTAAATGTTACCATTTTTTTTTTTTAAAGCTGATTACGTCCTTAGTTGTGTTCAGATATTGGTACACATGTCCACAGTGTTGTAAAGGACTGTAGATGAGAGCTGATAGCTACTGGAAGACTATTCATGACTGTTGCTACAAAGTGGGTAAACAGAATGGGAGAGGCAACCCATCCATTTCATGGTCTTTGGAGCTAGAGGAGGAGCTGACATCTCCAGGATAAGTTGTTGGTGGCAGGTCACTGCAGCCTTGTGCAGTGCACAGATGGATGATTGGAGGAGTTCTGTTGTTACCTCTCTGATAGGTGCTTGGCAGGCACCTGGCCCTGTGCCTTGCCTGTGCCTGTGGAAAGCTTGCAAAACCACTTTGCGGAATCAAGGACAAATGTGGGGTTTTTGATCAGCCCTTCCTTCCCCTTGCCTGGTGATAGCAATCATTTCCAGTGTTACATGGCTGGCTATTGCTGTTCTGTTGGTAGTGCAGTGTATTTTGTGCTCACTTAGCATAAAACCAGAAATTAATTCCTCGAGCAGCATGAGTACTAAAAGGGAAATACTGTGAAGGAGGGCTTGGTTTGGGGGATTTTTGTTTGCCTTTTTAACCATCTTGGTTAGTGAAGTAGAATTTCACGAGACCAGCAGAAGACAACTGCCTTATCTGATGGCTTTCAGAAACCACCTGCAAACACAAATGTTAAAACTTCTCAGAACACTGTTACAGGAGCCTTTGTGTAACAGTAACTTGAGTAAAACTCTTCTGGAAATCGTTAACTTGATGTTGAGCTTGAGACTGGATTTTCCACTTTGCTGTTTCAACTCCACATGGCTGATTCTTGGCAATGCTAGTTTTGTTTTTAAAAATGTGGTCTCTATCCATGACCAGTGAATCTTAATGCTTGAGTAAGAAGTTTTCTTTTACATTACTTTCTGCTCTTCTCCTAGTGCCTCTGCTCTGTGCCTTTGAGATTGCCACTGCTACCCTGTTGCAAAATGGGACAAACGTGGCCCAGTCCCTAGGGCAGAGATGCACCCAGCAGAACATCAGCAGCCTAATGTTGCAAGGTTGCACGGCCTCTTTGCAGTTCAATACAAAATAATACGTAATTGGCTTGCAAGTATTTCCATGTAGGTGGCAGAATGGGAAGATAACAGTGTATGAGTTTGTTGGCCGCTGTTTGGGAAAAGCTCTAGAGAGCAGCAGGTTGGTGTTCTGAAGCCCATCTGGGAAGGAAGAACAATGTTTCTTCTCATCTTTTTGTCAGTTTGGGAAGCAAAAACATCTTTTCCTTCATACTTCCCTCATAATCAAGCTGGCTCTTCGGAGTTTGGAGAAAAAGGGAGGAAAGTGTAAGGTCCCATGAGGTAACCAGGAAGGACCTGTAGGAAGCAGTTGCAAATTTAGATGCTACATACCCAGAGCTTTATATAAAGTGATTCTTGAGGCCAAATCCAATGGGAAGAGTAATTTAAAAATCCAAAGAACATATAGCAGAAAAGGCAGTAGCATAGTGATGAGTGGGGCTTGCAACTGTTGTCCATCTTCATGAAGAATTTAACAGTCCACTGCCATTAATCTGTGTTTATGCTAATTGACTCAAGTCTAGCAGTGATGGGAAAATTTCAGAGGTAACTATTATACTGCTGACCCCTTTAATGAAATAGTTAAGCAATGAACTTAATTTTGATACCTGTATATCAAACATTTTCTTTCATAAAGGTTTTCATGCCACTATAGATCACTCCACCTGTTTGTTCAGCTGGATTGTTCCTTGGACTCCTTTCTTCCCTGGTGCTTGACACCAGTGTCTCTAAGCCCAGAGACTTTTTCTTTGATTTTTGGTGAATATTCAAGAAGCTTAAATCTGTCTCAGTGTAGAGGTACCTCAAAAGATTTCTCCAAATCCAGTCAGACTGGCACTCTTTGAAAGCTGTGTACCTAATAGTCACTTCAGTTCATTTCATATTAGTTGTTAGGCATTTTTAGGCACTGGACAATCTTAAAATGGGCTTTATTCTAGCAAAACTGGGGAGTTAATTCTTGATTAGATAACTGGAAACAACAGAAAATAGCATCACATAGAAAAACATTTCTAAATAACACTTGCTAGTAAGACTATTGCTTAGCTGCATCAAAGTTGTAGCTTGTTTGTATAGATTTGGAGATCTCTGTTAGCTTTTTCTAGGGGCTATCCTTGGAACTGATTGAAATGTTTGAGCTCCCTATCTTTCCTTTTTCCTTCTGATGAACTTTTGTTTTATGTCTCCCATTTACTTAAACTTCCTTCATGCTTTTGCCAAAAGCAATCCAGCCTTAGCAGCATGGAAATCTTGTATCAAACATGGCTTTGACTGATTTCTTCTCCCTTGTTTTCTGTGACTGAGTGACTCCCTAGTGACTGAGCCTCTTTGAATTTGTATTGCCTTTGTATAGATATACCCTATACAGGAGTGTGTGTGTATATATATATGCACATACGTGCATGCGCACACATACATTTATACCTTTGTGTGTATGTGTGTATATATATATGTAAGTTGTCCTCATTACTGACTGCATATTAATCATGTTTGTCTAATAATTTCTAGTTTGAGACCTCAAAGAGAGCATGTAATATATATTAATATGATGGTTGACAAGCTTGGCATTCCGGTTGCTTCTGTAAACTATTTTATCCTTGGTTCGTTCCTTTTGTAAGTTTGCAGATGTTTGTCAGACCTGTTGGATAGCCAGTTCTTTTGAAAGACTCTTAATGAATTTGCCAGAGTAGATTCTGATTTTTTTTTTTTTTTTTTTTTTTTTTTTTTTTCCGGAGGCTGTATGAGATATCTGATAGCAGGGCACTGGCTTTTGTAGCTGTTACATGTTTTTCACTAGTCCAGAATGTATAATTATAACCGGTGGAATGAACCAGAGTGGAAGGAAGAACAACCAAATAATGGGCTAAGTTGTGTATTGAGGATTCTCTTGGTGGAATTAGTTACAAGTCTTTTCCATGCTATATTTCTGTGATTTGTGTTTTTCTAGGTAATCCTGGGAGAAAATGGGCAGGATTATAGGGCTAGCCAACTCTGCTGTGTTTGATAGTTTTGGTATTCTACCTTAGGGTAAGGTCTTGAACAAGATGCTTGCTTCAGGTTGCCACTTGGAGATCAGACCATATTAGGAAGGCGTACATTTCTGGTTTTATTTTTGCTACTTTTCCTTAATTTCAGGGTCTGCCTTGCATTTAGCATGATATATAAATGTAAATGTTGATTTACTGAAGCAGGGTGAGATGGTCTTGCTGCCTGTCCTTTTTAGTCTAATTGTGCTGAGAACTTTTTGAGCTGTGCTCCAATGGAGGGTAGACACGGACGTACTGAATAATCCCTCTGGCTCCTTTGCTGCGTGTATTCCCCAGTGTTTTAAAGCGTGACCTAACTTCTTAAATCAGTGGCTGCTGAGTAAAATTACTCAGCTGTCTAAAACCTGAAATGAGTTCCTAATTTCCCCCCTTCTTTTCCTCCCTCTCTGGTTTAGATCTTTCTTTGTGGTATTTCATAACTACATCAGGTTTTCTTGTGTGGATGTTTTTGAGTGTTTAATAGTCTGATCGATCCATATCTGTGCCCAGCAGAGGAAGAGAAGTCACTGGAGAGATTTGTTCCTGCATCAAATCATATAAAAGTAAAGTAAATACAGTTTTTGTTGAGTAATTGCATCTCTGGTTATGTAACTATCCCCTCCTCTTTAAGGTGGCGTGGTGTTCAGAGGAGTCAAAGCATATATGGAAGCACAAAGAGGCAATATGCTGGCTTCTCTTGGAGGCTGGGCTGGCCCTTCTGCATGCTCTAATTCATTTCTAGTCTTATCTAGCCGTAGCTTTAAGGACATACAGCCAAAAGTGCATGCAGAGTCAAAATGAAAATTTACTCCCATAGGTTTAGCCTGAGCTTTAAAATAAACATGCAGGAGATACAAGTTAAGCTGCTGTGCACTATCTCATGTGTGTTTTGGTAGCAATGTATTAAACTGCAGTGAAGAAATTTGGAAGAAGGAAGCAACTGGCTGATTTGCAAGTTTGGGCTTTCCTGAACAGTTGGTGTTTCTCGAGGTTCATATCCCTGTTAGGAAGAGATAT